ATTTGTGTATGTGGGTAGATAGGTGGTTTTTTGGAATAAGCCCGGAATAGCTTTAGGGTGGTGGTGGTGGTGCCCCCTGTGGCTATCTGGCAGTCCGATTATTTGGTGTACATCTGGCGACCCAGAACTAGATGGAATCTAAGTGGATTGAAGCATAAAAACAACAAGTTGGGGCTCCAAAACGGCTGGGTACATCAAAAAAACGCCGCAAAAGCTTGTAAAATAGGCTTTGAAATCTGTGTTTAGCAATGGCGTTGCGCCATCACGAAATCTATGGCTTTTTCACGAAACAAAGGCTTAAAAGGCCCAGAAACCACCTTTTGAGGCGTTTTCGTGGCGGATTCTGACGTCCACCCCCCCTATCTGGCCATATAGAATTTGGCCCAGATCAAGAAGATCACACCGTAAGGTAGCTAACAATGCAATTCTTTGACTTCTTCAAGCCATAGCCAAGGCTTGGCTCGGTGGTCTCCGACGAGTCTACGATTCTGTCCGCGTCGGGTCAACAGACACGTCGGAAGGGAGTTCGGAATGGTGGTCCGGCGCATGCACAGCACGCATGGTTCCCAAGACTCGGGCTACGACGCCAACCCGTCATGTAATTTGGGATATTCCGCATAACGCGACAATCATCCACGCTCCCGGACTCGGGATCGCCTTCGTTCGTCGTTTGCTGCCGCGCTAGGAACCCGCGACGTTGCATGCGACCAAGACGGGAACCCCTCCGGCAAAATGCACTCGCTTTTATCCGGTCCGTGGTTCACGATTAGCGACAGGGGCAAACACAACGCTAAGAGCGAGAATCCCCATTTCCCCATGGCACTGCCAACGGGCGCTAGAACAAAAATATCGATAGCAGTTCGCGCCCCAGGGCTTCCCGGCAACCTTCGGCTGGATGAAAGCTCCAACGTCCAGACCTTACCCGGCGCGCCCGTTGCCCGCTGTGGACCCGAGCACATGTTCCCGGCGAACGATCGAAGAATAACGCTGCGGCTCCAGCGACCGATGGCCCGGCGCTCGACGGCGAACCCCTGCTTCGAATCTTGGACCTCGAAGATGGCCGAAGCGCGTCGTATAGCATCTGGGGGCCGGAAATTAGCCACGACAGATCCGGGGAGACGGAGGCGGCGTTGCATCCAAATGGAGGGCGGCTCCATTTTGGTTAGGTAGCAAAACATGATCCGCTCGCTCGACGGCGACCAAGGACGTCGTGGGCCGGGTACGTAGCGGAGTAGCACCCCACCGCTCCGATGGGTCCATCGCAGCATGGCATGACCGCGGCGTCGCGTCTGCTGGCTGGCATAAGAGGAACCGGTCCCCTCCGAGCTGTCACGGTTTCCTTCCCTTCTCCAGCCCTCTGGTTCCCACGCCGTCGTCACCATGCATCTCCTCCCGGCTGTCTCGCTGCTCCTCGCCGCCGTCGTCCCCGCCGTCTCGGCCGGCGGAAAGGACTGCGACAAGAAGGACAAGGGTCTCGACTACTATGCGAAGAAGGCTGGTCTCAAGTACTTTGGCTCGGCCACCGACTCGCCCGGTCAGCGTGAGCGCGCTGGCCATGAGGCCGCCTATGCCCAGTACGACAAGATCATGTGGGGTGGTGAGTTTGGGTCGACAACTCCCACCAACGGCCAAAAGGTAGAATCCCTCTTTCCGCTTCGATTTCTCACCTACCTACCTACCTACCTACTGACACATCCAGTGGCTCTTTGTTGAGCCCGAGCAAGGCGTCTTTAACTTTACCGAGGGTGAGATTGTTGCTTCCAAGGCCAAGAAGCACGGCCTGTCGCTGCGCTGCCATGCCCTCGTCTGGTTTGTGGCACCCACTCCCCCAACCCCTGTTCGGCAAGGTAGCATTGACACCTTTGTAGGCATAGCCAGCTCGCTCCCTGGGTCGAGAAAGTCGAGTGGACGCCCGAGACGCTCCGGGCGGCCATCGTGTCGCACGTCACCAAGACGGCCGAGCAGTGGAAGGGACGCTGCTACGCGTGGGATGTGGTCAACGAGGCGCTGAACGAGGACGGCACATACCGCGAGTCCGTCTTCTACAAGGTGCTCGGCGAGGAGTACATCAAGCTCGCCTTCAAGACGGCCGCCAAGGTCGATCCCAAGGCCAAGCTGTACTACAACGACTACAACCTCGAGTGGCCCAGCAAGAAGACCGAGGGCGCCCAGCGCATTGTCAAGATGCTTCAGAAGGAGGGCATCAAGGTCGATGGTGTCGGTCTCCAGGCCCACTTGATCGCCGAGAACCACCCCACCCTTGATCAGCACATTGATGCCATTGCTGGCTTTGCCAAGCTCGGGGTTGAGGTTGCCCTCACCGAGCTGGATATCCGTCTCCAGACCCCTGCAAATGCGACCAATTTGGCCCAGCAGAAGGAGGCTTACAAGAACGTGAGTACTTCCCAAAACATGACAGATGACAGGTAGCTGACGGACGGTTTGCAGGTCGTTGGTGCTTGCGTCCAGGTCAAGGGCTGCATCGGTGTCACCATCTGGGATTTCTATGACCCCTTCAGCTGGGTTCCGTTTGTCTTTGAGGGCGAGGGCGCCGCTCTCCTGTGGTTTGATGACTTCAGCAAGCACCCCGCCTACGACGGTGTTGTCGAGGCTTTGACCAACAAGACAGGCCCCAAGAAGCAGCATCGCAGCTTGAGGCTTTGGTAGAGTCGGCGAGTAATAGTGTAATATCATAATAAAACAAAGAATACATTTGCAATGTCAAGATATACTCCCTAATTATCTCCTGGTGGCCGATCGCGTCGGTTTGTGGCTTGACTTGATCATGCGATGTGAGAGAACACACAGTTCACCTTGGCAAGTCCGGATATAGCTCCGAGGAACGTGGCTTTCCCATTCACTCAGCTCTGCTTGGCATGACAAGCTGACCTACGGCTTGCTACCTTGAGAGAATATCCAAATCAGCGCCAAGAACTTGGTGTCGGGGTGCAGTTGAACACCCGAGTTACAAAAGAGAGAAAAAAAAGGAAGTCAGATTTCTGGCCAAGTTTACATAATTGAGTTTAACTGGCAACATGTTGAAATACAAAACAGGTGAGTTCTAGC